GTCTGTCGTTGTGTAAGATGAATTTAATAATAAATTGTACGTGAATCAATTCAGTTATAGCACAACTGAAATTTATGCAATTCGATAACTGAATAGACGTAAACGATCAAGTTATATTAATAAGTGAAGAGTTTATGATTTACTATAAACCTAACTTTTCGTTTAACATCTGGCCCCTTTTATTAACTTTACTTTATCTTTTTAAAGTTTTCTAAAATTCTAATTGTATTTATACTAAAGTGTTGATTTTTATTGCTTTACATAAGGATTACGACTAAAAATGATTTACTTAACAAAGCCAATCCGAAGTATTAACAACTTTCGGTTAATATTCGATATAAATTAAACATAAAAACGACAGTAGCACCATAATAATATTATATTACCTATATTTAAGAATTTATAACACTTTAAATACCTAATTTCGCAGTTGACAATAACTTATGGTTGTCGGACTGAAATAATCAATGCTTAAACGACATTTTAATGTTGCACAAATTTATTGAGTAGCTAAATAACTCCTGGCTGAGTTTCCAAGGTGTGGAAATCGACCTTAAACCGTGGAATTCCATTGCCGTGACACTTGTATAATCGGAGTATCTGGCGGTATTCCACATCAAAAGCTGCAGTCGTTTGTAAGTTTTGTACACATTGAGGTAGGTGTTTTTTTTTTTTTATACTACAAGGTGGCAAACGAGCAAGCGGCCACCTGAATCCACCGAAATGGAAAGCGACCGCTGCCCATAAACATCCGCAATTGCAGATGCGTTGCCTACCCTAAACTGACGGAGGAGGAGACGCACATAAAGAGGACATTTCCCCTTCCTATGCGTCTCCTCACCGTCAAATCCACTTTTCCTTTCCATCCTTTCCTCTTAAGAAAAGGGTGAAAAGAGACCGGCACCACACTCATCAGACGAAACGCGGAATTGCTTCCATTTCAGGCCTGTTTTCTGTGTGGTCGTGGTATTGACCCGGGCGAGCCGGCCCATTCGTGCGAAGATGTTAAAGCAGGCTCTACCACTGTAAAAAAGGTGGTACAAAAAACAATAGGATGCTGCTTTTAAATGTGCCTGTACGAAGGGGTACATTGCTAATTGATATAGATTATTTCGTCTTTAACAACTTACTACTACCTAATTGGTTATTTGTGAGATGATGCGTTTGTTTTGTTGCAATTGACAAGGCAATTTATATTCAAGCGGAACAGCGACTTCCGCAACTGCACTTGTAGTATCTTTTTGTCATAGAAATAAAATGGGATGCCAATAGATATTAAAAGTTTCAGTGCAGAGTTCTAGGAAAAAATAAAGTTTTTCCACAGTATCTAGAAAGTTACACTACTCTCGATAGAACTACTATGCTAATGTTTAGTAGATATTTGCTATTAATTAATTATTTTAGCTTATAAGAATTTACGAGTACATTCTTTTTTGATTTTTTTATGAAAACTATCAAATTTTTATTTATTATTGTATTTCGGTACAAAACTGAGTACATCTTGCATAATACCATCACATGTATGAGTAATGATGTAAACCGTATCAGTTCATGTATTGGCAGTTTCATTTAATATTTTAAATTAAAATATGAGTCGGTTAAAAAATACGTCACACCGAGTTATATGCACGCATCGAACATCGAGTACTCGATTAATTATCGATGCCTGTCAAATCGATTGTCGTGTGACAAGCAATCGATCATAGTGCCGGCTATAGAGCTATAGAGGCGCCGGACTGATCGATTGTTCTCGATGTTTGTGAATAAATTAAAAATTGATTGTTGTTTTTACTAAGGCGGCTTTCTAAGAGAAATCTCACTCGGACGTTATTTCTTATTAACAATGACCGATGCTCCGTTGAATTAAGATATCGATTTTTGTAATAAAATTATATACGGCTAATCGAACTTTAATACAGTTCCCAGTTAAAGAAATACATATTTTCTTTTTCTTCCAATTTTTTTAGACATTTTAAACCGTTCTGCTTGATAACATAATTAACAATAATGAGCATGATTATATTATCATAATGTTATAGTTTCTCCACAGCTATTTCTTACAAAAATAACCGGAATCGAATCGTAACGTTTGATGAGTTCAGTTACACAATATAAGGAATCTACCACTTGTTTTCGTTGAAGTATTTTTACTATATATTCCAACTTCACCAAAGAATTTTAATTTCTGACCACCCAATTTCTCATAAAATCGTGAGTGTCATTGTTAATATTTTAATAGCTATTGTAAAATATATTGTAATTCGATTACCTAATTACATGATCCGCAGCCCACAATTTATTTCTCACAATAAACTACGCTCGGAATGATGTAAAACGACTTCTGTACAGTTGCTTAATGTCTTCCATTACACAGCTTAATGGTAAAACCATTTTTAGTATCGTTTTCCTCTAACATCGTACGAGTATTAAGCAACTCTAACGATAAAAAAATACAACACAATAAAATACATACAAATATGTAGTCTACTAACATGTAACATGCATTTACAAATTAGCGTAACTAATCTTAAAACAATAGATAGATTAAAAAGTTAGTAGAGACATGCGATATTTTAATTAACTATCTACAGTATGTACACTAAAAATTAAATTAAAACTCAAATAGTAAACCACATTATCTAACACCTAAGTCATATTGAAGCGATGACAACCTTGAAGTGATACGCGTTCAAAGTCGAACAAATGATAGGCTAGCGTTCACACGTTCTCAATTAAATAATCCGACGACTTTCTAAACACGCTGTAGATGGGTATTCGCGAGTATCGGCCGCACTCGATCGAGAGTGGACGCTCCGGGTTGCGAAAGCTCAAAACAATCGTGGTTCTGTAACGCTTGGATAACTGTTTAAAGCAGAGTTAGAAATCGATGATAGCTGGCCAAATACAAATTAGATAATTTTGTTTGCATTGATTTGCTCTTGATTACGCATGTGTAATAAATGATAGATGTTTCATAACTTTATTTGGAACATTTTTTTGTGTTAGAAATTAAAATTATTGCAAAACATACAGCACTGTCGAAATATGTGTACAATAACATGCTTAATTATAGCTAAACTAGTTTTTGCCTGCGACTTCATCTGTGCTATATTAATAAAAAATATTTGTAACCTATAAGAGTATGTTAATCCAGACTATGTTCTACATATGGGCCAAACATCCATCCATCCAAAATTTCGCCTTTTTAATATTGATATGAAGTATGATTCTTATGAAACTTGACAAACTGTCTTTATTTCTAACTTAAGTAAGATAATTTCTACAAAGACAATGCATTGGTCATATATTATTGCACCTTTGACACCACAAAAGGACGTAGTGCCTTCCATATGCAAAAGATATGTTTAGGTTTCGTGGGAAGCGATTAGATATACCGAACGATCTTTTATAGTTGGAAATATTAGGAAACTATTTTCCTAGTAGATGATAATGATGATATCAATGGCTCCTATGTAAAGTGTCATACGTTTGAATCGCGACTTTTTAAAGTTAGCTATTCAACGTTGGAAAAATCGTGGACATATGATCTACATATAAAATTCTTGTATTTTCCAACGAACTTTCAAATTTGCACAGATAGTAATATTTGTCAAGGCAATTTAAGAGAAGTAAAATAATTAAAATGCAAAATTGTAACTTACGATAGTTTACATAGGAGCCATCGATGTTAGGGTTAAGCAATCGATAATATTGTTTATAGTCTGTTATAACAACTGTACGTGTTGTCTCTGTTGTTTTGAATTGGAATGACAGAGACAACAACAAGTTTTATGTAAATGTTTCGGCAGTTTGAACTCAAGTGTGATTGTCTCACGCACGTATACGTTAAGTATTATGACGGTTCTTATGTTTTTGCTTACTAATGGTAATATAATATCACTTGTATTGAGTATTCTGCGGGTTTAGACCGCATTTATACTTGTATTCATATATCAATACCATCCCAATATCCATCCAGTCTTCACTAAAAAAATATATGTAAAAACAACATTATCTGCCAGCAAGAGAGACGCTCTTTACTACTGCGCAGAAAAAATTGCAAGTAAAAGCTAGTGTTACATAAATATACTGTCTTAGGTAGGATATAATGGTAGCTTTCCGGTTTATGTTTTGGTTAAAAAGACTTCAACGCATCACTTAAATGTTATACATTTCTAAGTTAGAAATAAATTACGGTCATAAATAATTCTACAACAATAACAATGAACATAAATGTCAGCACTCAAGTTTCTTTTTAAAATAAAGTATACTTATTTATGCGTTAACACATAAAAGTGACATAATAAATTTTAAAATGGTATCGACAATTACTTTCACATTGCTATCTTTTGTTGTTTAAATTTGAACCAAAAAAAACTAAATATATCGTAATATTGATTTAAATTGTAAACTGAGTCAATATTTTATAACATAACTAACTTCTGAACATAAATAAATAACCATATTGTAAGTTTTAGTTATGTATTTCTACTTCCTAACACTTTACTTCCATTCTTACCTTCGCCCTTAAGAAAATGCTCTACAATGCGTGCGCTATAGTTTGACCGGGAATTAAAAAACATGTTTAAAAAAGATTAAAAAGTGATGTTATAAAGAAGTCTATATAGTTAGTTTGAGAGTAGCCCCAGTGGTTGAGAAAATAAAGAGTAAAAGGTTAGAGTGGTATGGGCATGTTATGAGAAGGGATGAATTGCATCTAACAAGACGGACGTTAGTTATGAATGTGGAGGGATACACCTGTAGAGGTAGACCTAGAAAGAGATAGATGGATTGCGTGAAAGGTGACATGATCAAGAAGGGAGTGATGACAGATGACGGATGATAAAGTGCTTTGGAGTACGAAAACCCGGTGCGCCGACCCTACGGGAGTAGGATAAGGCAGGTGAGATGATGTTATAAAGAAGTCTATAACTTTGTATTTTTGGTTAGGTTTACAAATAATGTTAAGATAACATTAGACATAAATGGATTTTTCTTACCTTACTGTCAACGAAGCATTTTCTTTTTGATCTCCTACCTGCAAAGAAAAATATAGATTAGATTTTTTTTATTCATAACATAAGGTGGCAAACGAGCAAGCAGCCACCTGAATCCGCCAAAATGACGAAGCGACCGCTGCCCATAGACATCCGCGATCGCAGATGCGTTGCCTATCCTTATGTAACAAAATGTAAGAAGCAAATTTTAATCTCCGCGATCTATTTGAAACAATTACGGACTTTTTAAGATCATTTTATTGTTCTAAAAATACTTTTACCACGTTTCCAATAAGAAATTGAAATATAGATCGAATTGCATCGCAATTTATTTCAAGTTTGACATAAAACATTTACAAATACAGATATTGCATAACTTTGCTAATTTAAAGTTTGAATAAGAACGTATTATTGTTAACTTTTTAATACTAAAAGTATGATTAAAAGCTATTCAATTTACAAACAAACAAAAGATTTTTAAAACATTGTTTTTAACGAATTATTTATAGTGGCAGCATTCATAAATTACACATTTAAATATTCCATTTTAATTAAAACGAGAATAAAGGATTCGCGATGACTGGCTTTTTCAAAGAAGTGTTGAAAGCCTTTGTGTGAGATAAAGGCAACTAAAATGATGCTTTTTGAATACATAAATTTACTTTTAGCAACCTGTTTGTTACCTTCGAGTTGTGGCGAATACGTTTTTTATAATTTCGATTTATTTAAATCGGTTAACGGCAGTGGCATAGAATGGACCGGTGATGATTAACTGTATGAAGATATTTAGAAAGTGTAGATAAAAGAATGATAGAGAAATTTATACACATTGTTCTAAGCAATATAAGGGTTACGTTCTAAGCAATTATCATAAAAGCCATGTGTTTATTCCATTTATAGTGTTAGGAATAAAATTAGTACCGTGCTATAGAATTGGCGCAACTCTAGATTATCGGCATAAACGTCAAGTCCCTAGCTGACAGCTGTCAATGTCACTAGAAGTATGGATAGATTTGGCGCGCATCCTAAGTCTTGACGAGAAGTATTGCTCTGAGTTAAAAGCGACAGTATCAATTTAATAAGTTGTCTAATAATAGTAAGGAAAAATAAAATCTTTCATTACATACTCTGCTTAGATTCACCAAATTATACAACTACGCGCATAAATTAAAATTATAAGAAAAATTCACAAATATTCTGATTTACATGTGTTTATGCGTAAAGCGCCATTTTAGCGTCAGGTATTTTACAACCCATTAATTGTGGAACTTCATTATTATCGAGATTTTTATAATCTATTCGCGGATGAGTCAACAAAAGATTCGCTAACAATGAACACGGAGACGGAAAATACCAATCTCGTTTGAGTCACATTTGAATGTAAACTTTGGTCGGTCAATATCACAGACTATGGCGAAATATCCGTATAACATAGTTAATGATGATTGGTAAAAAAAAAGAGAAAATCACATATAACTACTTATAGGTACAGTTGGGGAAATTGGCGATGTTCTATGTTAAAAGCTACATTTTGAGACGAGACGCGGAAAAACAAAAACCCAGCATATAAATGCGTCTACGAAAAAAAAGTCGATTAGTGAAATACGGCTAGTTTCTTTTCATTATCCCTTCGTTTGCATTCAGTGTTATCTAATTAGTTAATTATAGGAACAGACGGAGTTTGTCCCGTTGCAATGAACATGGCAATTTTGAAATGGAACACCGCGGATTTCCGCAATTGTACAAGAATTATCATACATTAAAGAAAAAAATTATCTGATGCATGTTACTTAGTTCATCCTGCATTCTGGATGTCTTTTTTCAGTCATCACAAATTTTCATGACTCTTCCCTCTAATAATTCGCTAATTCACATAAAGAGGTTTACTTACAATATTTTTAATTAGATAAATAAGCTGAATTTCAAGTTAATATAAGCTTGTAGCTTGTGCTTTACGTAACAGCCAAGTAGTATACAAGCATACAAGGTGGTCGGTGCCGTTAGGCTTTTAGTACTTAAATACGCTTGTACAATAAACATTATTCTAGATCCTGCATATAACATACTAATATTATAAATGAGAAAGTTTAGATAGATGTATGGAGAGAGGCATGAATGTTTGTTAGAGTTTTTAGCCTAAACGGCTGAACGAATTTCGATGATCGTGTAGATGTAGAGGATAGTCTGGAAGAACACATAGGCTACTCACTTTCATTTTTTTTAATTACTTGCGGACGGAGTCGCGGGCGAAAGCTAGTTATTAATAATAACACATATTACATTATTCACTCCAATAATTTCCATCGTAAAGCCAATTGCTGTATGGCACAAGTAATTCTTCATATTTGATTGACAGTTGATGTTTCTATTGGATAGCACTGTTAGCTTAGAGGTTATTTATTGAGTTATAAAATATTACCAATCCATTATAAAGATGACAAAAAAACATATTAAAACAAGATTTATTATTATTATATTAATGTAAAAAGAACTTGTTACCTCGAGTTCACTTTAAAAATATCAGTCGTAGAGCGTAAACTTCAACTATAAAAGTCGTATAGTTCATAGTAAGGACAGTAAAAATAGTTCAGTCCAGGAAAATTAAAGATTGTATTCAGATACATCGTCATCAACTTGCCCTTATCCCTTACGGAGGGTCGGCACAGTGTGTGCTGCTCTTCCATACATCTCTATCAGCCGTCATATCTGAATCCACTCTTTTCTTAAACATATCCTCTTTCACACAATCCATCCATACTTTGGTCTTCCCCTTTCTTTATAGTCACATTCATTCTTAACACTTTCTGGTTTATATCCCCATCGTCTCGTCGCATAACATGTCCACCACGCTATATATTCTTCAGATACCCTTATCTCACTTTACCAAATGTAAGAACAGAAATAGGGGATTTAAAGAAATAATAAATTACGATGTCTGAAAATAACAATAGTACACCATATAGGTATATTCAATTGGCTGTTAACAATTTTTTTATCTTTACGTAATTAAACTATCAAAGTATAAAAAGTGTCAAGAGGGGATACGTGATTAATTACCGCGTATATGACGCACATGTATTGACGGACAACGTTTTTGAGCAACACTTGTTCCTGTCATTGTTAAAGTTTTTTGTAAAACGAATTCAATGAATGTGATTGATCCTGTTATTGTGGTGTAAGTTTTGATAAATTGAGTTTAATAAGTTGCAAATGTTTTTTATAATTCAAGAATAAAAAAATATAGCTACGTTTTGTAGAACTAAAGACTCAATGAATTCAATTAACCATTAATTTATTCATCTTTGAATGAATTTCCACATGCCAAAAATTTGAGTTTCCTGTGCCGATATATGTGCGAAATACATAATCTGATTCTTATCGATTTCATAAAGAAGGAAATAACAATATGTTACTACACTCTATTAAGCTGAGGCATAGCACGAGAATTTCCGAAAAAGTATTGACAACAACGACAATTATATCAGTGTAGTCGGTGTAGTTTACGCTCGTTATTGCTGCACGAATCTAATGCATTATTTTCGATGACATTACGAACACTTTCTCGCAAATTTTCGTGCTACATCCTCTGTATTGTAAACGATCTCCCTACTACTGAAGTTCATCAAAACGTAACCCGGACGTAAAGCTCAATCAAGCGTAATGACGCAAGTAGCCACTCACCGTTTTTTTCATAAACAGTAACCGCTTACGTCGTGTCATCGACACATTGTGTTAACTGTGTTAAGAGTTAACGACGTACTCGACTGTAGCGAGTGCCCTCCAACGCTGGTCTCAATTACGAAACACAATGAGCAAACATTGACGATGCCACACAATTCATACGAGACATTTAAGCCATCGATTTTTAAGGAAAATACGCGTCTAATGAAAGTGCAATTAGTGGATATTTAAATATTGTTAATACGTACTACTATTCTAAATGCGAAAGTTTAGAGGGATGAATGTTTGTTAGAGTTTGTAGCATAAACTGCTGAACGGGTCTCGTTAAAAATTGGCAGAGATGTAGAGAATAGTCTGGAAGAACACATAGGCTACTCATGTTTGTTTTTTAATTTCACGTGGAAGTTCCACGTGGCGCGAAAGCTAATATTTCATATAATTTCATGAACTCCTGAAGTAAGCTAATAAGTCCATTAAAATAATCCTTACATGATTGTAAGTACTTTATTATTCCTAGATTGTTGACGATTCCTAAGGTATCGTAAATTCAGGTATTAAATCTTATAGACAAGGTGGTTGAGATAAGAATATATGCAACATGTCTTGAACCCGGCTGGCACAACTTTCGCCTCATCCATTTTCATCAACAGTCAGTCGCTCTGTATTGGCGATTGAATTTTTATTACATTGAATTCTATCGCAGCAGAAGCATAGACGTAATACCTTTGACTATTAATTAAAGGACCTGGCAAACGTCTTATTATCAAATAATAACGAACAATTAACTTACTTGTTTGTGTGTTTGTTTTGTATGAGTACTTATCGTAATTTTCCTTAAGTCTTATCTTAATCTTAAAGTGTCATTATATCCCTACCACCCTCAAAAATTGCCTTAATTCACACAAATATGGCGGTTCTTTGCCTAGTCCATTACTCTATAGTCAAAGTGCACTACTAAACACCAGCGAAATACTTGAACAATTTAATGTGACATTTTGATTTGTCGTCAATTCAAAATGTCGTAAAATAAAGTCAGGACTGGACGGATGTAGTACCCTGATATATTAATGTCAAAAATAATATTAATAACTCTGAATCATATTTAGTTGCAACGGATCATAGATAACATATCTAAAACTTAGTTTATTTAAAGAATCAACAACTAAGTTTAACAGTATTGCAATTTCCTACGAAGTTTATGCGCAATTTTTTATCTAAAGTAAGGAATCGTAAGGCTTAAATATAATAAAATAAAGGAAACTCTAAATAGTAAATGTCTGCAACGTGTATTTGGTAATTATCGTAATCTACAACAACAGTATTAAAACATTTAATTGCAATAACAAAATCAAGCATACGC